AATGGGTGGAGAGAGTTTGTCTACAAAGGTGGATTATTGTTACGAGTTTCACATAACTCGTTAATTTATCTTCGAATGTGAAACCAACCGCCTCTGACTTTGACCTTTGGCGTACTTTTGACGTTAGCTCGTCTTTGATGACCCAAATGAAGTCTTATTAGGAGAACACGTATATTTGTCAGTTAATTTTATATTTGCCTAGGACCTCCCTAAACTATATTCCAGGATAAATGAAAGGAGGCAAACAGTCGTATAATCATGCCAAGTTTTCAGACAAAACTATCGATTGTGATCAACTTAGGCCGGCTCACGTCTTTAAGCCATTCCAAAGAGCACGCATTTTGAGAAGCAGTGCAGATTAATAGGAAACAGTTGCGCCTCTGTCACCAAGGGCCTGAATTGGTCTTTCAGCTACTGTTAACCGAAATAATAATAAAGGTGTAATTTTGAACGATCATCAATTGTGTCTCTGTCTGGTGTACTTTGTTGGCTGACGTTAATGTGTTTTTGCCCCACATGTTATATTCTGTTGGAGAACTGAAATCTGCACAATTTGGAGTGACTAGGCCAGTTTGGTGTGCTCACGTGATACAGCTCCTAAAAGTTATAGTTAAAGAACATTTCCGAAAAAGACAAGGGAGTCCAAAATGGCCTTCTACAGAAATTTTGTCTATTGGCCACATTTCTTAAATGCCCCGAGGAAGGAGGTTCTGGACGCGACCTATCTCACCTAACTTATGGAGGATGCTGTTATTGAGTTTGTTTTGAGCCACGATTTTACTGTTGTTTATAACTGGAGAAGTCTTTTTAATTTGTATCGGTTTCTTCATCTACAGTTATCGTGCACGCATATTAGGCAATCCACTAAAATTCGGCTGCAATAAAATAAACTTTGGTATTGTATTTAGAAGAGGGGAGAATGTACGTTCTGGTTCAATGTAAGCCTCTTATTTGCAGTTCATATGTTTTCGGTCCTGAATCCTACAGCCTTTGTGAATTTTAAGCGCAGCCTTCAATCTAAACTACGTCTTGGTGTCGTCTTAAGTCGTGTGAAGGTAGGAACATGTGCATTTCCCGAGGGTATCGTTTGCTTATCTATTCTATGTCAAAACGAAAATGCTCAAACCATTGTTAGAAGAGGCAGGCATCTAAAGACGCCGTTGACTATGACTAGCGACACTGGTCCGGCTATTTCTGCGTCCATTTCATTTCAGTTTCATTTAGGGAAAGATAGGCTAGAACCCTTACTATCCTCCACTGGTCATTGGCGATTGCGGCAGAAACCAAGGCTAAACGATGATAGCTGGTTCACAAAACTGCTTATATCGGAGAATAAACTCGTTATCACTAACCTGTCGTGTTGAAAAAAATGTGTTCGTCGAATGGGAATCACGAATATTCTTCCTGTGTGGGTGATGCTACTTCGACTGTTTTAGCTTGATCAGTAGCCGATTGGCATAATGTGCAGAAAGTATCATGTTTTCACAATTGAAGCAAGTATTTCGGGCAAGGAGCTTCCCAAAAGTAAAAGCAACGAAAAATGCCGTGAACCCTGCCATTAATAAATTCCCCACCCACAGAACGTTTGTA